CATAACTATTGATGGGATGAAATGTCTTCCATCATCGCCTCTCCTTCTTTTAATCTGAGGTTGTCTTTTCCTTCCCCTTGTCAGGGAAAGCATTGCTTTCCCTACTCTTTCTCCAATCAGAGAGCTCAGCTTTAGAAGTGTTGTCAGGCTGCTAGTAAGGCTTATTAACCCAGGCTAAGTCTGGACTCCTCAACCTCCAGTATGACATCTCCCCAGGTTAAAATCCTTCTCTGTTTTGCTTTCTTTTTTTTTTTTTTTTCCTCCCTCTTGTCTGCCTGCCTGCCAAAAAAATGTCTGAGAAAGCATGCAGTGAATTAATGTTCACAGACTAAGACAAGGTCCAGAACAGCATGAGTGTAAAGCTATATTTCTTCAAACTCTGCTCACCATCCAAAATCTGTTCCTGCAAAATGCTTACAAAGCCTTGTAGAGACCATGAAGAGAATTCTCTATTTGATTGTCCACCTGCCTTCTGCTTTTCCATTACCGGTGTCATAACTAGTGATGCTAAAATGATTCTGCTTGTCATCTAACCCAAAACTGAACATGAATAAATGAGCCCCGTGCATTCTTCCTTGGGCTTTTCTGTCAGGCTGTTTGCAAATTTAGATGGGTTCTAGGGCATAGTTTTACATTTAGCTGCTCTCTTCCTTKCAGTCATAAAGATGAGTTTTGCTTCCTTCCCTTGAGAAGAAATTTAGCTTTTGGATGATGAGCCACAGCCAGTGAGGCAGTGTGAGCTCACCAAATGATGCTTGCTAAAAGACTTCCTTGTCTGGGCAGATTGGAACATGATTGTCCTCTGTCTTAATGGATTTTTTTTTTCTAGTCCCCATGCTAAACTCAGTAATGCTTTTAAGAGAATCCTTACCACATTTTGGGGAAGTAGTAAAATTAGAAATAAAAGAATTCTTAAAATACATCTTAAAACATCTTCCTTGTTTTGCGTGGGTCTAGTAGAATACTTTTTTAAATTAAACCTTCTTTGCATGAAAGAGGCAATACCCAGACCCTTCAGAGCAGTGTGGAAGGGTAGAGACTGTGGGAATTTGGTCTCCAGAGTGTGCTCCAAAATGGGGATATGGAGGGACCATATGATCTTGTAATGACTTAATACACCAGAGCAATAAAATGATCTGTGAACCACGCTAAGGAGAACTAACAAGTTCTCCATCTAACATCTCTCAAAGCTATGGTCATGTGGTTTCTTTCTGCTACCCGGTGGTCAGGCAGGTAGGTTTCACTAAAACTACCACTACTCAATCCCATTGAAAGACACAGTGCAGACATGATGAAGATCACTGAGGGTAACAGAGGAATAGTTTTACACATGGCCACTCAGTATATCTTCCTAAAGCAGCAGGCTTGTGTCTTCCCAGTGGCATTTTACTGTGCAAATCTCAGAGGCAAAGTGTAATTCCCTTCAAAAGCTCAACCTTATTAGGGAGTAGAGAATTATTCTCTTAAGAGTGCATGTATTTCAGATCTCTTTCTCCTGGACAGCAGAGATCTGAAATAGATGTAAATAAGATGTTTTGATGTTTTATCTGCAGTTTCAGAGGAGGCTTTTTGGTCTTCCTCATTATCAGCTCCTCTTTCACTAGGAAGTGCAGAGTCAGTTCCGGGAAAACCTGTGCAAAAAGTCAGCATTTCCAAACCGCCACAGGATGGCATCATCCATTCACACTAACCTAGGACAAACTGTCTTGTAGCCAACCAGCCTCGACCAAAAGGCCTTTCTGGAGTTAACCAGTGTCTGCAGCATAGTTTTAGAAGCTAGGACTTCTCATATAACAGTGTTGCTTTGCTCTGCCTTCAGGAATGGACTGTCAAAGGTTGTGGCTGACTGGGGTAGTCTCACAGGAATTTCACGTGCTCTCATTTCTCTCATGGGAGGGCAATGTGGCCCTCCCTTAGGGCCAAAATAGAAACCCTCAGAGCCCGTCTGCCTTGTCTTGTGGTCACGTAAATTTTGTGGACAGTGAAGTTTGCCAGGTGCCCCGGGGCCAAGAATGATTTTCTCTGCCTTAACATCACTGTGTTGATGCTGTTTCGCTGTTGGATCCCACTGCTGTGTTACATATGGGACTCAGCACAGCCACTGCTGCTGTTGAGCACCCAACGGCTGCGGGATAGGTGGTGGGTGCAGGAGGGAATAATCTGGGTTCCAGCACTTCTCCAGGACGAAGGAGAAAAAGGGATACCTCTTCACAAAGACACTGGCACTCTGAATGGAGTAACTCAGTGTTTGCTGGGCCAAGGGAGAAGACCAAAGTGTCTCAGAGCACCAGAGGCCTGCTTCGATAGTGGCGTTATTGCTTCTGGTCCCTGCTCCAGGCTTTGACGAAAGAGGGAAGGTGTGGTAAGTAAGGRCCAACTCTCCCCTCCTGGTAGGACTTCAGAGGCCTGTGGGGACAAAGGACTTTTTTGTGCACTCCCTTGGTCCTTGACCCACTTCAGTTCAGGGGACTTTCACCTTGACCTCCACCCTAACGTATTTCTAGCCTAAGACCAATCAACATTCTTCCCTTTCTCCAGCTAGTTCCTGCCCTTGGTTTCTCCTTCTGTGTCCTTCCTCAGCCTGCTCATTTCCTGATGCTTCTCCACTATCAAGGTGAAAGCCTGTTTCTACCTTCCACCAGTCCACCCACATCCTCTGCACACTGTTGGGAATGRAAAACAGGGCAAGATTTTTGGGTCGAAACCCCCACGGGTGGAGCTACGACCTGCTGCTGGGCTTGAATGGAAAAGGAATCATAGAATCAAGCAGGCTTAACTCGCCTGTGCTTTTCCCCCCTCAGCAAGAGGAGAGCTGGCAGCCTACCTCCTGCAGAGCAGAAACGCTGCTTTTCTTCTTCCTACTACTCTTTCCCCTGGGGGAGAGGCACTTGACTGTGCTCATTAATAAGGCAAGACCATTAAACTTGATTAAGCTAAACTATCTCTTTAAGAAAATGTCTTTGGGCTGTGCAGCTGGCTGCAGGCAGCGACTGCGCAGCATTTCTGCCCACTGAGCTCCAAGCGTCTTATCTAGGGCCAGAACAAGGATACAAGGAAGATTTCCCCACAAAAATAAACACACAAATGCGAACTAGAAAGTAAGACTGTTTTTTCAGTTTTAGTTATTTTTTTTTATTAAAAAAAGTATTTCAAAAGATGTTTTTCCTCTGTTGCACAAACTTGTTTAGAAAAATAAAAGGCTGACATAAAATGTGCCTGTGGGAAGGCACATGTGGCTGTCAGGAGCTGGGACCCTTGCAGCAGCATTTCTGTACCATGCTTGTCTACTTCCCTGTTAGTGCATCTGCTGCAAGGTTCCTGCTGCCCAACCCACAGGTTATGGGCTCTGGCGAACCCCAGGCACTTGCTGGTCCTTTGCTTTCCTTTCAGCGACTTCAGTCTATGG